CCCCCCCTTATTCCCGGTGGAAAATCTTGGGAGCTCCCAGGACTACTGGACAGACAGCAGAGCACCGCGGAATTGCTATTGCTAACAACGCCATGCAAATAAGGGTCCTAAGCAGGCGAGACTTTAATTATGCTAGCTGTAGACTGACTCGCCAGCGCCTTGGGTCTTGCCCGTGATGACACGAGAGAAGGTCAAAATTAAAAAAGTCAAGCAATTTCGATGACATTCTGGTCTGTCTGGTCACTCCCCGGGCTAGCAGTCTGAGGGGGGTGTGTGTGTGTGTAAGGGGGGAGAGGACTGGAAGGAGGGAGGGAGCTAGCAGAGAGAGAGAGAGCGAGGGAGAGGAGGCGAAAGAGGATTTTTAAATTGCATCCTACAAACAATAAAAAAGGAGAAAGGAGGCGGAGGCGGAGGGGCTCCGCCGCGTGTGGTTGCGTGTGACCTCTCCATGCGTCTGTATTTTGATCCCATTGTGTCCCACCATCCTGTACGTCTAGGGAAATGAAAGGAATGTCGTAAACCCCGATATCGGGATACCTAGTCGGTTTGGAGCCAGGACACCAAACCGCGGAGCTGCGTGGTTTTCCTCTCCCCAGTCCTTTCCCACCCGCCTTCCCCCCATCCCGAGCCTGAACTTCTCCTGCTATTTTTCTTGTAGATAATCCAGCTGCAAACTGGCTCCACGCAAGGTCCACCAGGAAAAAGCGTTGCCCTTACACCAAGCATCAAACGCTCGAACTGGAAAAGGAGTTTCTGTTCAATATGTATCTCACCAGGGACCGTAGATACGAGGTGGCCAGACTCCTCAACTTAACTGAGAGACAAGTGAAAATTTGGTTTCAGAACAGGAGGATGAAAATGAAGAAAATCAACAAAGACCGAGCAAAGGACGAATGATGGTGATACGCGGGTTAAATTGAAAAGGCATACATTAAAAGAAACAACAAAAGTTAAAAACAACAACAAAAAAATTCCTCCCCTCGAGCCCTACCATACAGTACATCTGGGTCCAGGCCTCATTTTTCCCTATGGCAAATTCTGATTATGATTGTACCTTGATTGTCACAATAGCATGGAGAGGCCAGTTTGCCAGGAGAGGTACAGTAAGACTTTTAATTTTCTAATAGGAAAGCAAAAGGGGGCATTAGCACGAAAAGGCTCTTTAGCTGGCTTGTATAAATCTACCTGTTTCTTCACTTAAGAAAAAAAAAAGAAAACAAAAAAACAAAAAAACTACCTTTTCATAATGCACAACTATTTACGGACTGTATAGTTTAGTCTACGTAGTTAATTTTATTCGCTCTTTGCGCGGCAGAGAGAGCTCTGCTCTAATACTTGAACACTGTGTTTTATTGTGGTAATTATGTTTGTGACTCAATTTATGTGCTTGGGTGCTGTACCGGATGTAATTGTGTAAGCTAGAATTCAATTTGAACTCAGGTTGTTTATTATAAAAATTGCATAGAGTATAGCTCTGTAGTGTATTAAGTCTTTTCTGTATAATTAGACAGTTAACCTTTGATTGTAAAAATATATATTATATATTATATATACCAATTTAAACACAAAAAAGTAGAAAAAAAGTTTGTCCGGGATGTCTAGGAATTACGGTTCTCAAAATATTTCGAAGCAAGTCATTTTAGTATGCACAGTTGATATATATAGTACTGTCTTTGTCAGTTGTATATATAATCTATATATTAAAAAAGTAAATAAGCAGACTAGCTTAAATATTGTTTTTGCACCAGTGAACAGTTATCAGATTTCGGAGCTATACGTATATGTGAAAAAGGTAACTACCTATCGTTTATGTTTTAATTTTAATCAAATAATTTGATGGTTATTGTAATGAAGGTTAATTTTATTGATAATAAATTATACACTATAAAAACCTGCATTTGGTTATTGTAAATTTGTATCGATTATAAAAAAAATAAATCTGGGAAGTTATGTTGATGCAGAACATACGCTGTCTATTTTGAAATAGTTACCTCATGGCCTACTGACCAAATCGTTGTGTTGAAATGATATTTAACTTTTTGCCAAATAAAATATATTGATTCTTTTATATTTTGTGATGTTTTAAGATTATTAAGAGGGGTTCTTCCATATCACTGCGAATATCAGACAGCAGGCATCTCAAGGGTATGACAGCTGCGGAGGGGAGTATTATTGTTATTATTTCTGAGCCAAGGCAAACGGTTCTATAAACGCAGACCCGAGATTATAATTTGGGCGGATTTAGGTCCTAAATTTATTTGCTTCACTGAGAGCAGGCATAACTCGCCCCTCCCGGATATAATTTCGTAAGCCGGTGCTTAGCAATGTAAGAAGGAAGCTCTTTCAGACACGAAGGGGGGCATGCTCTGAAGTTAACATATTTTTAATAAATTTGTTTGGCAGAGCGGGGGTATTTAAGACTAAATCAAAATGCCTGCTGTTCTTTAGTGTGGACAATAATGTACATCAGATTAGGCAGAGACATTTAAGCTGAGGTGGTTTAATTAGCCTACAATAAAACGTCCAGAACTGAGTGTACTTCAACAAGCTTTGTGAAAAGGCTCGCCTTATCGGTACGTCCATTTTAAATCCCCTTCTGGAGATAATTGCCCATGCAAAATATGTTATTTTAAATGTCATCCATTTTTTTCTTCCCTTACTTTCACATTTGCGATTTTTGTCCCCTTTCACATGTCCCATGGCAAATAAAAACAACACGATGTATTTTACTAGCTCCTCAGATTATATATGCATATATATATATATACACATATATACACACACGTATATATAAAAATTTACTGAAAATTATCGCAGAATTTATGGTGTCAATTTTACTCGCTGATTTAGCCGAAGGAAGGAGCTAGGCTGGCAGCAGACTAGAGCAGAGAAGGCAAATAAGATAAAAAAAAAAACATAAAGAAGGCTTCTTTCGGGTGGAAGATTTCCACACACACACCCCCCCATTGCACCCACCCCTCCCCCGCCGCCCCAAGCCAAACCAAGCTAAGTAACAAAAGAAAAGAGCGAAGTCTGTGAGCTTGCTGAAATTTGCCCTTGTTTGGGGCGGACATCTTACTGCTCGGAGTGGATATCCTCCATAATATGCTTCCCAACACACTTCTGCACAAGCACCAAACACTGTTTGCGAATATGCCGAATAATAAAGGCCTTGTTGTTGTACGGGCACATACTTACATACATATATATTTAAAGCAAAATAAGACGGAACAGACGTATGGTCTTGGCAGAAGTTGTTGTTCGGAAAATTCAGAGCCATACAGTGCAATAAAAGAAAATGACTGCTGTAACCGTTTATGGGGTGTAAAACGCTGCAGGGCTAAAGACAAAAACTTAGGGAGCCGGCAGAAGTTTACAGATGTGCAGAACCGCGGGGGGGAAAAATTAATTCTGCTTCACCTTAAAAAAAAAAAAAGAAAGAAATCCAGAGTAAGATGTGATGAGTGCTAATTAATGAAAGGGAGCTCGTTCTGGTGTGCACACACACAAAAAGGACTCTAATTGATCCCTGAGCCAGTATTTGGGGATGCTGGGACGCCCTCTGTTGTTGCAGACAGAGGCAACTTCAAAGAATCAGCATTAAGAGTGTGTAATAAATGACGGGTCTGCAAACTGTCTGGAATTCGGCTCTTAATGAGTTTACAACTGTCCAGCCACAATTAAGATTTTCTACAAAAGCCTTTTCATTTGTTTTGTCTGGCTGTTTTAGATAAAGCGGGCGAGCGGAAATAACAACCTTTTATTGGCCTTCCCCTTCTTAAATCGCGGCTGGGCGGTGGACATTTATCTTTGCGCGGGCTGGCGGGCCGCGGCGCTGCTCCGCGGGCGCCGGCTCC